ATGAGAGATTTTTTACATATTATATTTTTTATACACTTTTGCTGGAGTTTTACTTGTTCTGTCAAGTAGTCATAACAAAGTAAAGGTGTCATTTTCACATGTGAATATTTCACTATTTAAAAGAAGAAAAATAGTGATACTCACATGCAGGCATCTTTAGACTAAGTGTGCTTACTTTTAATTACCATTTCAGACCACTCAACACTAATCACGTGTGTATGAATGCATGATTTCTTAACAGGACAAAGGCATAATTTTTCTTTATTGAAGCATGACATGAGGCGCATGACTTGAATTGATGAGGCTAAAAAAGAAAGAGGGAATGAGCTACAATAGAATGGTCTACCTAGAGACTTGTCTTTCAAGAGGGGACTCTGTTGTATAGCATGTGAAGCATGTGAACTAGTATCCGCTTTCTCACACTTATTCTCCCTTTCAGTTCTTTTCTGCGGTCTCCTACTTTAAGGTACTCAAGGTGGATGCTTGGGAAAAACTGACTCTAACAACACTGTAAAACTTTTGTGTTTTTTGAAGAACTGTTTTACCTCAGGCGTCAGAAGTCATTAAGAAGACATGCTCCTCCAAGTTGGTTTTATTCTAATTTTTTTTGATGTTATTAACTCTTTACATAAACGCATAAAATTGAGTTTTTGTTACGCACAAGAAGGCCTAACTCTAATGACAGATAGAGATTCATTCAAGTCAACTAAGCTGCCGTTAATTTCCCTGTCAATCGTCCCGAGCAATGTTTCCTTTGACCATTGTTTCCTAGGAAACCGTCTCCTTCCTTTGAGTCCAAGGTTTTCCCTTTGGTATCTGGAATCTGCAAGAACAAGATACCATATACGGTCATTTACTACCCCACGAGCGGAGGAGGAGGAGGCGGGGGGTGGGGGCGGGGGGTTGTTTAAGCTGTACTTGAGGGCGAAAGGCGGAAATCAGTGGAGAGAGGCTAAGTAGAAAAGGCTTTTAATTAGCCAAGTTCAACGTACTGCTAATCGCGAAGGAAGAAGAAGAGCCACTTGTGGTCCCGTTATCTCAGAGGTGCCGTTTAGCGTAAGCCTTTTGCCAAAGTACAGTCAACTCCCGCCTTACAGACACCCCGATAATACGGACAGCAGCTAAATCCCAGGATAAAATAAACTACAGATATTCTTGACTGAAATAAACTCCTCTATTTCGGACTCAGCTCTCGCTAATGAGAACACTAGGTCTCTGAAGTGTCCGCTATAGAGAGAATTGATTGTAATAGGCCATTCGCGAATTAAACAAAATCTTTACTTTTGAAGAATTCACAGTGTTCGGCTCCTTTTGAAACAGTAGCTATGGTGAGCATGCGTCTATCTGGCCAAAATCGGCTAGGTAATGTTGATTGCAGTTTTAGAGGTGGCTCAGCACTGAGGCCATCCTTACGTAACATGTCTCTTTCACAGGTGTTACAAACACGTTTGGACAGTTAATAGGACGATTTAGTCTGCTAAATTCTTGTTCATTTCTGTATTTATTGTCTGCTGTCATCCAATTTTTGGTTCTCATTTTGGTTCCCATAAACAGTCGGCGCCAGTCATGGCGGCCACTCATTTGTTTGCTCTGCACACCTTTGCTGACTTGCCTAAGTGTCTCTCTTGCTATCCTGAGAACGTGCCAAAAAAGGTCCTTTCCTTCATTTGGCCTGGTATTTCGTATGAAACAGCTCTTGACAAAGCTGCATCATTATTGCCCAATCAACTTGGAAGAAATTAATTCGAATTTTGTTGAGTTCTTTGGGGGCCCAGAATAATAATCTCGGCGCTACTCCGCTAGATTACGAGTAGTCCCCATTTTTCCTCAGGGATAGTAGAGCGAGCGAAACGCGATTTTCACGCGCGCTCGCGTTTCGCTTGCTCTACTATCCCTGAGGAAAAATGGAGGACTACTCTTAGTCTACTACTCCGCAGACGTTTACTAACTGGCCGAGGTTAAATTACCTCCAAGATGCGGGCTATTACGGTTTGGACCCCATGTAAGCGCTGGCAGGGGGCTCATTGCAAAGGCGTTTTTGAGCGACGCACGTCAACCGGAAGTGAGGTTTTTAAATTTTAAAGCACCTTAACGCTACCAAATTCGTATTTCTAAGTGTCTTTACTATTATAGAGACGATCTGTCTAAGAATTTGGACAAAACCACCGGTTCCGGTTGACGTACTTCGCTCAAAAAACCTCTTTGCTTATTAAAGCTCACTATTGTCGACCAGCGCGCGCTCCGCGCAACTCCCTGCCGCCGTAAACTTAAAAGTATTTGAATTTAAATACGTTCCCTAATGATACCTGCCAGCCGTGGGGAACATTCAAAAACCTCTCTAAAACAAAGTTCATGTCTTTTTCCATGGGACCGCTCATCCAAATGGAAATTCTCATTGTGCACGACGTTAGTGCGCTGACGTAACCACTTCTTAAGCGCAGATCTTTTGCCGATCTTTTTCTCGTTGGACAAAAATTTGTAGCCAACTACCTCGAGATGGCAGCCTGGAAATTTTTGTTGAGAAAATACACCGTCTTCTTTGTAGGCTTTCGACCGCTGAAAGTGTAGACAAACCTTGTAGCCGTCCGGTGTACTTAGAAGCTGCTTAGAGCTTTTAAAGCTTTCATGTATACGTGAGGTAATCTCGCTTTGATCTTTCACAGACTGTGAAAAATTAACCCGCCTTTTCCGTTTTCGAGTATCTTTTTCTGGTTCTTTAGAATCGTTCTTGGCATTTCCCGGGATCCACGTGTAGACATAATGGATAACTTTACCGACAACGGTTGATGCGGAATGCATAGATTCTGGTATATGATATCCTGCATGTGCAGAAACACTTACTTGCAAAGTGTATGTGGTTGTGGCAAACCACATCATCTTTATGACATCACAAAAAGCGCGCGCAGCAAATGCACTCCCAATATAGATAATAGAGAGGTTCAGAGTCACGTGCACGACAGGCAAACGTGAATTTGTACCACGTGACCAAGTTTTTCCTCATGTTGTGCTGTCATTTACTTCTACCCCAAAATTAGTAGCTTCGCGTTAGTTACAATTGTTTTCGGCTGATTTTCTTTTTTCTATTTCAGGAAATTCTCAAATTGAATCTGACATCTGCCGTTTGTCGTAAACGCGACTCTAAATCTCTCTGATAATTAGAGACCTTTAGATTCTAAGACGAGAACGATTACGAGGACAAGATTTGAATGAAGGTTTTCTCGCATATTCTCAAAAAATAGACATCCCGGAAAGCTTCATTGTACTTTTTTGCATCAGGAAAGTTAGCACTGTTATCCATATTGAAGGAGGTTAAGCCCTTTCCCGAAGGCAAAATAATAAAACTTCCAACATTTAATAATTTGTTTCCGCCACTACAACATTCTCGCAAACTATTAGTAGAATGACGACGGCTATCACGTTTCCCACCAAAATGACGCGGGTTCACGCGCGATCACTAATTAGTATTGAGAAAATACTAGTACTCGTCGTAGTCGTACTCGTCTTAGAATCTAAACGTCTCTATTATGTAATTTGTGTTTGTCCGAATAAACGTAAACTAGTGGTTCCAAATGGAAGATAAGGTGCTGCGAGCACATTCGCCACCTAGCGCATTGGCTCAGTTTAGTTTGTTTGTGACCACAACGGATCGTTCGGCACACAACGCCATCGAGCAAATTCACTCAGTTCAGTTTGTTTGTCGCACTGGTACATGCATTGAGGACAAATCCGCTCAACTCGCGGTTCTGTTTGAAGGTCGTTTTATGTGACTCTTTCTACATGATACGCAATCAGGGCACCTTTGAAATCAATGATGCTTGAGAAAACACTGAGCAATTCCGTAACTGAGAACGCAGTAAGGCGGCAATTCAGTAAAGCATTAAAAACTAGAAGAAAAGTATAATACCTCGCCTCTAAGTGGCACTGAAGTGTTACAAAAATTTTGAAGAAACTGGAAACGCAGATGTTCGCTTAAAAGAAACTGAAAAATACCAGCGCAATGTAACCTCAATTTATTATTTTGCCTTCGGGCAATCCTCCATAGTTGATGTAGCTTCGGTTTAAGCCGCACTTGAATGTTATAACTTTGGATCTGTAAATTACTATCCGTGATAATTTTTAAACATTCTGCAAAGAAAACTAACGAGCTGGGCCCAGCGTGATACAACATTTCAGAAAACATTACATTCACGGACTAAAGAAACTCGCTTAGTTATTCAGATCCAGAAGGCACTTTGGAGAAAAGTAAGACCCTTATTCAGCCGCAATAAAAAGCTTTACGCTTCGAAAGAGGTCGAAGAAAATGCTCTTGCATCAGAGGGTAAATCCTGCTGACCAGAGACAAAAACAACAATAAATCGATATGTATGCCATGACCTCTCAGTGTGAAAGAAGCGGCTAAAATCACATTTGCTCAGTGAAAATGTAGAACCTTCCAGAGCATAATCTACCCAGCAGAGGAAAAAACTTATGGGAACAAGCAGCATTTTGGCGTGAGGTAAACGTCGTGTAGGCCTACCGCCCCCTTTTATTGCTATAAATACGTGATAAATACCCAAAGGTGTAATTCCTGTCGGCGATCGAAGCGCTGCTGATCTCTTTGTACTTGTCTTTGGAGGTTCACGTTCTGGAGAAGTCATGATAGTATCTGTACCTTTCACATTCCAAGTTCGCTCATTGCAGGGGCTCGTTAAATTGGAAATTGAACTAGCAAGACGATCGGCCCGTCGCGCACAAGTTAAGCAGCTTAAATCGGAAAAGCTTTCTCCTTGCTCAAGAGGAAATCTTGAGGATTCAAATGCTTGCGCTAGTACAACGCTGTCTTGGCCACTGTCAACCAGCAAGGTCTTATTTCTTGAAACGCCAAAGACCGGCACCGTATTAATTCTCTTACCGGAGGTCAACGATTTTTTGCAAAATCGACAATTAGGCCCGCAATTAGGTTCGCGGTCTTTCACGGCTCATTTCCCGATTTTCCCAGGAGTTACTCACGCGCGAAATTGATTGACAGATAATCATCTTACTGACAGATGTTTGGCAAGATAATTACAAGAGGGCGGAATAGCGGCTTCAAATGTTTGTCTACAGGCTCTCTCCCCCCCCTTTCCCTTCCCTTTCCTTACTATTTTTTTCCCCAAACAGAGAGCCTGTTCACAGGCTAACGAAATCACAGACCGGAAGGTAGAAAGCAGGCCAAAGAACTCGCGAACAGAAAGCACGTCAGCAAGTACGAACGGAGAAAGCAGTCCAAAGAACTAGCAAAGGATGCGAAGGCTCGCGAACAGAAAGCACGTGTTTAAGCCCGCGTGCTAATGGTCAGCAGTGCTTATAAAACACACGAAAGCGAGACAAAATGTCCTACTAACATCTGGTGAGATATTTTTCCGACACATAACAAGAAACTAAGGCTAGCATGGTGCGTGGAGGCTCACGGTTAGGTGGTTTGAAAAGTGTCGGTTGAGAAACTTGTGACATTCTACGGTCAGCCTTCCTCGGCGACACATTACGTTGTTTAGCTTGTTTCATTTGTTTGCTCATATATTTGTTTATTTTCGTTTTTTGTGGAAATACTGTCTTTCGCCTATTTCAGTTTAGTATTGTTGTCCACCTCAAGACCCCAAAGGTTACGCCATAACATTGGTTGGGGGTGCGCAGTCTCTTTTTTCCCTATAACGGTTGTTTTTAGGGTTTACATGGCGACTGTGGCTAATGCAAGCTATTAATTAATATTTACCCATGTTTCCTTTATTTTAATTTTTTGAGGTCTCAATAAATGCTTATCTTGAGCCTAGCTTACCAACGGGCTCATGCCTCATAGCTGTGTTGTGTGTTTGATTGCGCTGTGGAGGCAAAATAGGCACTTAACGGCCCGGACAACGAGAAAACGAGAGTAACCAATGATGAGAGAGCAAAACAGCATTTATGAACGTGTATCACTCTTTTCTGTAATTTCTTGGCCGTCCCTGTGCAACTACAACTTGAAAGTGACCAAATTCCAAGGGCTCGGGCGCGGTCTTCTTCTCTCTTCGGCTCCAGCTTGAATTCCCAACTTTTGAAGAAATGAACAAGGTGGGATAATCACGGAAAGGCCAGGTTTGAAGGAACATTTCATTTCATTTCATAAAATAATGATCATTTTTGACCAATTTTGGGCAGCAATCGATACAGGAAATTCGAAAAAAGAAATCCTTTGATTTGCTCGGACTAAAGGTCTAGCAAAGGAAAGTCAGCTTTTAAATCTCTTCATGGTTATAAATTTAGTTCATAGTTTAACTCAAGCGTTTTTCCCCCTTTTGAGAAGAGAGCGAAAACAAGAAGAGGGAATATAGTAGACAAAGGGAGAGCAGTGATCTTGTAGGCTAGTCCACATATAAAGCTAATGATGGTCATGTGAAATGATAGTCTGGGAGGATGTTATCCACCTCGGCCTTCAGCCTAGGTGGATATCACCCTCCTCGATGTACATTTAAGCAATAGAAAACGTTTTCCGTGTTTGAATAGCCTGATATAAACACAAGAGTGGTTGGGAGAATTCGAAACAGTTATGCAAACCGGAGACGAAGTCGAGGGTTTGCATATCTGTCGAGAATTCTCCCAACGCCTCGAGTGTTTATATCAGGCTATGCAAACACAGGAAAAAAGTTTTCTATTGCTTTTATAAAATAACTTTCCCGAGAAAAAACGAAAAACTCTTTGTATGGCACTGATTAAAAGAGAAATTCTTACCAGTCGCAAAGTCCTGTCCACGAAGTCTTGCACGCGTAATCAGTTCTTATTTTGCAAAAAGATGCTTTCCAAAATACGGATTTTTCTCGCTTAAAATGTCAGCTTAAGCGAAGAAAAATTGACACACCTTCTTTGTAACGATTTTCCAAGTTTCAGTCGACGAAGGAATGGGTAAATAAAGTAAACTTGTGGAGTTTTGAACTCGAAAACTTTTTCAAATTCGTGCTTGCGTGATTAGCGCGAAAAAAGCAAAACATCTTGACGCCACAACCATGTTTACATACTCCCATGCAAACACTCCTCTCGGCCAATCAGAGCGTGCGTACTATCTTAGTTATTTTATAAAATTCTCCTACTCAGCCTCATTCAGTAATTGCTAAATATACAGCTGTTTCAAAAACCGTTGTCGAAAGAAGGAAAGCAAAAAGAAGGAAAACCAATAGAGAATGGATGGGGCCTAAAACTCTATTGCTTTTTTGAAGTTCTCGTTTCCGTCGCCGTAGTCGTTGCTAAAGCTCCCTATTACGTTGCAGTGAAGGGTACCGAGCGTTAATATGTGAACACAGTTGACCTCTTTGCCCGAGCCAACACAGTGCTCGCACTTGCTCTGATTTCCTATAATAGCGCTTGAGCATACTCTGATTGTGTAATAAAGACTCAATTCCCTGGACAGCGAAGTTACTTAAATGCTCATTTGAAAATTGTAAAATCGACGCTGTTACAAGATCTTAAACAGAGGTTTAGGCAATGCTGCCTTCTTCAGGGTAGAGCGCGGATTTCAGATGGTGGGGAGCGGGTTAAATCGAACACGGGGAAAACGAGAGAAAAAACGAGGAGAGACTAGGTCAAGAGCCCTCCCTTCCCTTTTCCCTCTCTAGCATCTCGTTTTTTTTTTCCTAGTCAATGTTTTCGCCAGCGCTCTACTATCTGAACGCCTGGAACAGGCTTGAAGAAGGCAGGATTGCCGAAACATTAGGATCTCGTAATCTCGCGTCGATTTTACTATATTCAAATGAACATACTCGACTGTCTTGCCTTGACCGAGTTGACCGGCTTGGCGAAAGATTTGCCCCCCC